AGCATATGAATTCCATGGTAATAGATGGTAATTTCAGGTCATTTTTCCAGTAGTGTTATGGCTGCATTCGCATCTTTCATTCTTTCATTTAATTGCTACTTTTGGAAATCTATTACAAGATTGCTAGTTACAAGATTGTTGTGTTATTGCCATTTTTGGCATCGAAGAGCCCTTTTCACCGGCAAATGTGGGAGAAACTCAGCTCCAAAATAGCCTATACCCGCGACATTGGATTATATTTTAATGCAAATAATCAAGGTTAAGGCCTGGCAAGTGTAAGTTCCTGAAAAGTGCGTAGCATGCGCATTCCCCATTTTTTCCCAGTTTTGCCACACGGGAAGCATTGTTTCCAGCGTTCATTTTGTTTGCAAGAAATAGACAAACATTATATGTTGAAGAACATTACATTTTTTTTCCTAGCCACTTTGTAGTTGGTTTAACTGTTTCTCAGTCAAATTTGGTGCTCATTCATCTTAACAGCATCATAAAGATTATGAGTGTACGCGTTTTCCTCTGGATTGTCCTCAAGAATGTGGAGTGCAAGCGATTCCAAGAGAGGAGGTACAGATCTAGTAGTATATGATTGGTTAGCAATTCCAAAAGGCCTATGATAGCAGTCCTTACTGTCATCTTAAGTTAGGTAATTAATGATTAGGAAATGTCAGCTATGCTGGAATTTCAGCATAAATCACTGAAACATTACATGTTACAAAGACCAAACGACAAACTGAATTGCATTATTTCATCACTTGGATAAAAAACAGTGGCCCGATATCGAACCTTAAACTGGTAGTAATCGATTCTCTCTAAAACCGAGCAAAAAAAGACGTTGACCTAATCTATTTCTAGAACATTTCAGTTCTTTTCACACGGCTTTTACATGTTTTTACCACAGTACCACGACCTTGGAGCAATTTGTTGTTGCTTCAGACCAGCTAGTTTCATCCAAGTCTCACTTTCAAAGTGTAAATTTGTAAAACCACGAACGAATCCCTTAACTGAAGCAGAGATGACAACAATACACACGTGAAACGCAGTATGAAGGTGGCAGTGGCTTGAAAAGAATTTTGCAAAAAAAAAAAAAAACCGAGGATTTGGGAGAAATATTGTAACATAGCTCCGAGGCTTTCTGGACAAACGTCTATATTTAGTGGTGTTTTCTTCCTATTCAAGTCGCGTTTGGGAACTGAGGGACAAAAGGACCTTACAAAATTCGCAATTTTGTCCTGAAAGCCTCGGAGCCATGTTAGAATATTGATATTTATAATCCATCAAATATTTTCGCTCGCGCGCGATTGGTCTAAACACGTCACGTGGCCGAATATTCCCCAGCCAAAACTGGGGAATATCCGAGAATATTCCCGAATTTTCAAAACTGCGCGCGTTGCGAAAAAGATTTGAAGAACAATAAACACACTAGCCTCCATTTTGGGCGAAAATATGCTCGGATATTTGTCCTTGGACATTATCTGTTCCTCGAAGCTCACAGTTCACTTCTCGGAACAAATAATGTCCGCGGACAAATATCCAAGGATATTTTCGCGCCAAATGGAGGCTATTGTTTATATCGAACGTGACCTATTTCAGCAACTTAGGTAACACGCACAAGGACTTCTCTCTGGCTTGCAGAATCTCGAAAACTCATCAGCGTTCAACAAGATTTGATTTTAGCTATGATATCTATTTTCATTCAGTTGTGACAAAGTTGTCGTGGTGAGTCTTATTACTAATAATTGACACACATTAGCTGAGCGACGATCCGACAACGTTTCCAATCCTTCTTACGAGACCGACAATCAGAAACATGCATGTTGTTTTTTTCAGGTGGAGTCCCACGTGAGGGACGATTGTCTGATGACTATGGTGCACTGTCCTTACGAGGAAGCTGGATGTACGTTCCATGTAAGTTACGTGATAATATTGCGGTTTGGTATTCACTTTGTCGTTGAAATGATCCACCTAACCAATCACAAAGGAAAGACACTGAATCAAGTAAAAACACAAAGTAAATATACATGAAGCCGGCGCAAATCGCCGCAAAACCTTTGAGACCGAGTTACCGTTGGTTTTGGTTTAAGCTCTGATTGGTTGAGAAATTGTCGGGAATCTTAGGGAACCCAAAGCAATTACTCTGGGCAATCACAAAGGACACACAACCCATGGCTAGTGAAGCAATCAAAACTTGAAGGAAATACATGTCGCTGACGTGAAGCGCGAGAAAACGTGAGCGAGCAAGTCACGATTGGTCAGTTTTGTTTCACTTTTGATTGGTTAACAAAGTGATCGAGTCTTTTTTAGCCCGTCGCTCAGTGTAGTAATGCAAAACCAAAGTAATTGCGAATTACATTCGACACAAAAACTGCTCAAAGCGTCGTAAAGCAGAACTAAATTAAAAATAGGAGTAACTTTCACATTGAATTGAAAACCGTTCTAACACGATTGCTCAGAGTGCGAGATTGTCTAGTTGAACATATTTTTCCTTAAGACCTAATTACCCGATAATATATCATGTTTACAATAAAACGATGTGAGTTATTTTTAAGTACTAAACGGCAATCAGCTACTTCCGATATGACGCGTACCGTCTTTTTAAGTAATGTTAAGTAATTCTTCATTTTCAGTGGAATTGGTGCCAGAGACTATGGTCTCTTGGTTTAATTTTTAACGCTGTTCTGGCTCTGTTATCCGAATTCGCTGTGTAAACGACGGATATTTTAAATTCAGTTCGCTAAAGAGCTACACTTTCAACAGAGACAACAGTTTCAACAGACTTTTGGAAGCGAACGCAATTGTCAAGGCTTGGCACTCAGATGAGATCAAGTCAAGTCAAGAGGGAATGGCTTTTTATGTGGACCTCTTATTAAGCGAACACCCTCTATTAAGTGGAAATCTGCTTGAGTCCCTAAATTTTCTTCACATATGTACTGTAAAATAAACCTGGACCCCTCTGTTAAGCGGACGCGGACACGAATATTAAGCAATTTTGTCGCACAAAACCTGCAATAACCGGACATTTCAAGAGCTTTTTACTTCTAAAAGCTCACCTCGGACTCTTTTAACATTGTTCAGCGATGCTACAAAGCAGCTTTTTTTCAAAAGAGTTAGTAATCAACTATTATTTCACAATATATCGGAACCTGTTTAGAACGGACACCCTGTATTAAGCGGACACTAGTGAGTGTCCCAAGGGTGTCCGCTTAACACAAGTTTCACTGTACACCTGAACAATAAGAAAGCCGGGCTGACACAAAATATAAGCGAAAAGAGTTGGTGCTTATTAAGAAAATGTGTAGTCAAGTCAAAAGTTTCGATGACCGCTTCAGCGAGTGGGTTGTTGATGATCATATTCAATGGCCAAGATTGACTAAAGAAGGCCACTAAATTGATGAGAAAGCCATTATTATATTTTTTTTCAATTTCCTGTACTTAACGTACGTTTTTCGAGGTACTTAAGTATTTTCTGGGGGGAACGTTACCCGGGGTTCTCCAAAATACTTGATCTCACATGAAAAGTTAATTCAATAGTTCTTTTAATGCTTCATAGGACCAAAGGAGTAATTTGAATGATCATCTTGAGACCTCGAATGAGGAGCATCTGAGAAAAACATGGTCTAAGCTCCTAAGGACAACAGAGCGATTGAAGGAGCTTGAGGCAGTGGAAGGTCAAATTGAAGAATTGCAAACCGATAAAGAATCCATGAAAATGTTACTGGATGGCAATAGCGAAGAAATAAGCGACCTCAAACTGTCGGCGAAAAAGCTTGAGGTGGAAAATATGGCACTGAAGAAAGACGTAGCAGCGCTGCAAAAACAGCTAGAAGAAGTAAAACTTACCGCTGCTGGTGACAAGGAAGAGGTCCGTTCACTGAAAGCGGAATTTAACGCATTGAAGAAAGACGTGGAAGAATTGCGATATAGTACCCCTGAAAAGTCCGAGAAGAAAATGAATAATTATTGGGCTTGCCACCCGCAATCAGTGCGGCTGAAACCTAATTATTCAGTCTTGCATACAGAAACCGCGATAGAAGGACAAAAAGCATCGGGTAGCATGGAGAGGTAGGTAGAAAGAAATTTGGTAACCTCATTGGGGGTTTGTGTTAATTTCCAGGAGGCAGTTTTATCACTGGGTTACTGTGATCTTAATCAGCATCTTCACTATCTCACTATCTCTATCGAACTTCGCTTTCTAGTCTTTATTTTCTATTAATCGCATCAGGAAAAAACTTACCAACATAACACAAGATAATAATTACTATCTCTAGGAATGGTTAGACTACGAGTAGTCCCTCTTTCGTTTGGTCCGTCGAGAGTGACATTAAATAAAGCGTAATAAGAATCAAAGTGGCTATTAGCCACTCAACTTGGAAAATGGATCATCTGTAAACAGTGACAATTTTAAAGTTAAAGCACACTGGCAAAACGAAACGGTACGAGAATACACGAGAGGAGACGTAACACCTTTGAAAACATTCATGAAGTTACTGGTGATCCTCGTCTAAGTCAATGATAAAGAAATTACGGCTTCTTGTCCGATCAGCAAAACAAGTATAATCGGATTCTCATTTTCATTCCTACTTTTTTCGTTCTTTGTTTTCCCAGGCGATATCAGTGATTTTTTTCTTTCTTTGTTACCATTACAGAGATCTTAGAAGTAAAAAAAATTATCCAACGCAGAGTCATAATACCACAACGACAGCACCGCGTCTCGTCCGCTCAACAAAGTTAAAGCCCTGTTCGGCCGGGTTCCTGCTTGGATAGGTTACCAAATACGGGTACCCCGTGTTGTAATAACTTTTTTTTCTATTTTTTTTTCTTCCCTTTCCAAGGCGATATTAGTGACTGCTGAACTCCCAGTCTTGTGTAATGTCTTTTTTTCTCTATTTATCAACTATTTTGTTCAAATCATTCTGCCATGTCCGTATTCATCTTTGAAGTATTTATTTACAATACTGTATAAATAATACCGAAACGCGTCGTTCGAATTCTCCTCATGCAATTCTCTTGTCTGTTGATCGTCCAAAACTTTTAATCACGGCTTGAATCATAATTCGAAAATTGATACAGCTCATCAATTTTGTGATTTTCAATATCTTCTCAGTTTCGGCAATCGAGTACGATTAACCCTGTATAAGCGGACACCTATGGGAAATGAACTATTTATACAATTAGCTTCCATATATAAAACGCGAAAATCTATTCAATGTAGATCATTTCTGCGGTAAGGTATTAAGTACTTGCGTCAGAAATCCAAAGAATAATTACTTGATCTGACACGGTGCAAGCGACTGTAAAATGGCCTTGGACAGCGCGGTGTTCGAAACCCAGGGGGGATTCCTATATGAAAAGGTCGGAATGCTCGTCGTCTTAGGTACAAATCAAGGATTCTGGTCTCATTTAGGGTGTTGATGACGAAACG